GAAAACATATATTCTCTTTATTCATGAATGAGTTTAGGTAGAAGGAATCTAATAGGCTTGCTCGGTCAAGTTTACTCGGTTGAGCACTGGTCGCGCTCTTCAGTTTTTGGGGCGTGACAAGAATCGTTAATTAAACTCCTGCAATTGATAGCAAGACCGTTACTCATAAAAATGAGGTTGTCCACTTCTGTTTGGGGTCATATAACTTTGCATGCAGCATGCTAATTCATCTCAGACCGATAAATTATCATAAATATTCCCCATTACAGTTAGTTTTGGGTCATGAACCTAATATGTCCCATTTAAGAATTTTTGGATATGCGGTATATGTGCCTGTAGCACATCCATATCACACAAAGAAGGATCCCCAAAGAAGGATAGGAATATATGTTGAGTTTGAATCGCTCTTCATTATTTGCTACCTCGAAATATTAACGGGAGATTAGTTCACAGCTCGATTTATATATTGTCAATTCGATGAGACATTTTTCCCAAAATTAGGGGGAGAAAATGGTGAAACCAAATAAGAAATTTTGTGAAAAAATCCATCATTATCTTATCTTGATCCACGTGCCTTTATTTATAAAAAAGAGGTACAAAAAATTATTCATTTTGCAGAAAATAGCAAATCAAATGCAAAACGTATTTACGGATCTGAAAAGGATAACAAAATCAAATATCCTTGCATAGAATGTTCTAATCCGTATTGATGTCTCTATTAGACAATCTTCTAGTGTCATCGCTAATGAGTCGAAAGCATGCCTAAAGCGTGACAGACCATTGGGTTCTAAGGATCGAAATCCTAGAAAAAGAAAAACAAATGATCAAGATGACACTACGAAAGAGTCTCATAAAGAAATCCATGATTTAACCAATCCTGAGATTCATAAGGAAATCACTGAGCCTGAAACTCAAGAAAATAAGGAACTATCAATAAATCTAATCGATAATGAGACGAATTTGAATCTATTGGATATAGTGGGGGATTATGTCTTTGCATATAATGTTGCTCTAGCATTATGCAACATAGTGAGGATCCTGAACCTCAATTTGTTGAAGAATGTCGATAAAGACGTGATTGGCCAAAATTGCAAGAAGCAATCTAATCAGAGTTGAATTCATTGCAAAACGTGAAGTTTTTGGACCTGTAGTCCAAACACCTAATAATGTTTAGTCTATTTGGCTATAAATGGGTCTTTGTTCGCAAGAGAAAAGAGAAAAATGAGGTACAAAGATATAAAGCACGCCTTGTTGCACAAGGATTTTCACAAAGGCCTAGTTTCGATTCTAAAGAGACATGTTCACCTATTATAGATGCAATAACATTTCGCTATCTCATTAGCTTTATTATCTATGAAAAGTTTGACATGCATTTAATGGATGTGGTTACAACCTACCTTTACGGCTCACTTGATAATGAGATATACATGAAAATTCTCGAAAGATTTAAAATGTCTGACGCACATAATTCAAAATCCCGGGAGATGTTTTCGATCAAATTGCAAAGATCATTGTATGATCTAAAGCAATCAGGACGAATATGGTATAACGGCCTTAGTGTATATTTATTAAAGGAAGGTTATATAAATGATACCATTTGTCCATGTATTTTTATAAAGAAAATAATATCGGAGTTTGTTGTACTTGCCCTATATGTTGATGACATAAATCTTATTGGAAGTCTTATAGAACTCCAAAAGGCAACTGATTATTTAAAAAAGGAATTCGAGATAAAAGATCTAGGAAAGACAAAATTATGTCTCGACATGCAAATTGAACATTTGGCAAACGGAATTTTTGTTCATTAATCTACCTACACAGAAAAGGTATTGAAACGGGTTTACATAGATGGAGCACATCCATTAAGTACTCCGATAGTTGTTCGATCACTTGATGTGAATAAGGATCCGTTCCGACCTCAATAAAAAAATGAAGAGCTTCTTAGTCCTGAAGTTCCATATCTTAGTGCAACTGGTGCACTAATGTATCTTGCTAATATTACAAGACGTGACATAACTTTTTCAGTTAATGTCTTAGCAAGATATAGCTTTGCTCCTACAAGGAGACGTTGAAATGGAATCAAACACATATTGCGATATCTAAAAGGGACTACCGATATAGGCTTATTTTATAGCAATAATTGCAGTCCCGATCTTGTTGGTTATGCCAATGGTGGGTATTTATCTGACCCACACAAGGTTCGATCTCAGACATGCTACGTATTTACATGTGGAGCCACTGCCATATCCTGGTGATTAACTAAGCAATCAATCGTGGCTACTCTATCTAATCATACTGAGATAATTGCTATTCATGAAGTAAGTCGAGAATGTGTATGGTTGAGGTCTATAATACATCTTATTCGTGAAAAATGTAGTTTGAAGTGTGACAAACTACCCATGATTTTGTATGAAGACAATGCAGCATGCATAGCCTAATTGAAGGGACGATTCATAAAGGGAGATAGAGCAAAGCACATTTCACCAAAGTTATTTTTCACACATGATCTTCAAAAGAATGGTGATATCAATATGCAACAGATTCGTTCAAGTGATAATATGGCTGATTTGTTCACTAAATCTCTACCGACGTCAACCTTCAAGAAGCTAGCGTACAAGATTGGGATGTGAAGGCTCAAAGATGTGAATTGATGCTCTCATCAGGGAGAGTTAATATGCGATGTGCTCTTTTTCCTTATAAGGTTTTGTCCCACTGAGTTTTCCTTATAAGGTTTTTAACGAGGCAACCAAAAGGCGTATTTCTAAACATGTGTACTCTTTTTCCTTCACTAGAATTTTTTTCTCATTAGGTTTTATTTTAGTTAAGGTTTTAACGAGACACATTGAATAAACATTCAAGGGTGAGTGTTACAAATAAAATTGTATTTTAGGTGAATGTCTATCTTTTAGACAGTTTGTTACTTTGTGGCTATGTCATTTTTCTTCTATAAATAGAGGGGTTTTATCCCAATGTAATTCATCCCAAAAATCAATAAGAACTCTCTCGTTTTTCTCTACAATCTTTTATTGTTTTATTTCAATTTCTATATAGAGTCTCAATTCTCTAAATATCCTTATTATATGTTAATTAAATTTTAATTTTTCCGATTTTTTTCTGGGTTCGGCTACCAAGGTATTTCTTCCTTCAATCAATAGTGAACCTTTGGCAATGAGTATTCACCATGATTTTCTTATTTTGCTTTAAGCACTTGGGCAAAAATGAGTAATTATCACAAAATTAGGCCTTAAAACCCAAAATTAGATTCCAAGTTATGGGATGGGATACTCATAGCTCTTAGTAACAACTGAACTTATAGCAAGGAAAAAAATTAGAAAACAATTAGTGGAGATCCAATTTAATATCAAGCTAAAGGAATTCATCAGTAACGACAGGAAGTACAAATATAATAGTGGTAGAAATATGAAACTAATGTACATCATGATATAGTTTATTCTTTTCGTCATTCTCCTATCCAATCCTAACAGCACGGAAAGAAAACCTACAGAAGCAAAGAACGTTGTCTGTTAGACTGCTTTATTCCTTGATTCATTTACAAATGCCATTTCCATCCAGTCAGTGGAAGACATGGCAATAAATCAGTGTGTGAGCCAGTCAACGAGAGTTGCGACGAAGCTTTCTTTACAAATTTCCTCGTCGGGTCTCCTGTCATAATCATATTATCTTTACATCTTCACATTAGACATCTCCACTCAAGCAGCAACGCCATTCTGCACCTGAGCATCTACAATTTTGAGAGGTTCAGCATATTGTTTGGCGTGTTGCTTGGCCTGATGCTGAGACCAATAGGAATGGGCAGCTAAGACCCTGTCAAGATGTTCCTGGGGCACCGGCTCTCCCCTTCTTTGTTGTGGGGCAATACTTGCTGTATGAACTAATGTCTTCCATTTATCCTATAAAATATAAACAAAGCAACCCATGTCACATGGATGGTGGCGACAATCATTAGCTTTGTTAATAGATAATTAAAAAATTTGATAATATCTAAGCTTATCCGCAGAACAACTCATGTACCTGTTTATGCAATCATTCTGAGCTGTCATAAGAACCAGAAAGCCATTATAATAAACATGTTGGATCGTGAAAGTTTGTAAAGCATCTTGTCATATGAAAACACGCCTATTTTCAAGTTGGCATAAATAACTAAGACGTGGGTTCCAATCTCCAGACAGTAATAGAACATAAATAGAACAGAACATGACCTTTATTTCAGAGCCAAGGATACTATGTGGAAAGGTCAAGGAATTACACAGTTTTTCACAGGGAAAAAAAATTACATGCGAGCAAAATGGAGAAACAATCTTTCTTAATCAACATTTTGAGAAGGAAAAAGAAATGCACAAATTAGATGTCTAACCTTCAAGTCAACATAAGTACGGTGATCGGCATTATCAAAAGCACGCATTTTAACATCACGCCACCTGCATTAACAAAGATTGAAATGCAGATCCCCCGTGAATTACAAATTTCAAACTGTTCCAATGCTCGTAAAGAGAATTCTATTTGTTTCATACCTTCCAGTTCCAAGCTGTTCTACAGCTTCGACCAGCGCTTCTACTTCAGCAACTGAGAATGGCCTCCTTGTCCTACGCTGTGAAAGTTCAGAACATCTGTTTTTATGATTCACCGGAACCACAGCAAGTGCCTCTGTATTCACAGGAGGAACTATGGCCAAGGCTTTAAAATCTGGAAAAGCTTCATCAGCTGATTGATCAATAGGAGTTGCAGGTGACATCTCCAGTTCATGGTTACTCTCATCATGCTTGTCCAACTTAGCCTCTGGAGGATCTGACAAAGCATTGGGAGGACCCAATTCGAAGATAGGACTAGATGGATGCCTGAATATAAAAATGACTAATTAGACACTGTCAGCTGTCCATAGAGTAGCCAAAACCTACTGTAACATTTCTTTCTCTTTTCTTTGATAACTATGCAAAGCACCATTATTCAAAAGCATACAGTTACTTCCCAACAATACCTAGATAATTCTTGGTCTGTAATATACGATGCTGAAGCAAGAGTATCATCTTTAGGAGACAATGACAGAGGAACTTTGCTGAAACTAGGTTCCAAAGTGAAACCCAATGTATCAAGATTGTCATTCGGTGAAATACCAACTTGCTGTAGAGTTCTATTATCATCTCTGACCTTCTTTCCCTGAAGAACCACCCCCACCCGTAATCCACTTCCCAGGATAGCTGTTACTGCTTCCATTACTGTTCTCTGCATGAAAAGATAAAGAACTGTTTATTTGAATTCCACTTATCAAAAACTGTTTTCCGCATAAAAGATTAAAAATGTGTGTTTGAACTCCACGAGAAAATACGCTTTCTACACTACCACTAGGAAGAGCTAATCAAAGTGACTCCTCGAAGGGAATCTGAAGCTTTCCGCACATAGAAGTGCTTAATTAAACATCTGCAGGGAGAGCGTACGACAAAAGCAAAGAAGTTTANGATAAAGAGCTGTTTATTTGAATTCCACTTATCAAAAACTGTTTTCCGCATATAAGATTAAAAATGTTTATTTGAACTCCACGAGAAAATACGCTTTCTACACTACCACTAGGAAGAGCTAATCAAGTGACTCCTCGAAGGGAATCTGAAGCTTTACGCACATAGAAGTGCTTAATTAAACATCTGCAGGGAGAGTGTACGACAAAAGCAAAGAAGCTTAAAGGAATTAGTTAATACCAAGTGCAGAATGCACCCATTGAGATTTAAGTGAATTTCTCAAAAATATATCTATTTGCTCTTTACATTTGCGCATAAGATCATCTTATTATGGTCTAGTGTTAACATAAACAGTTGTACACATCAAATCCCTACAGCAAATGCTGAAATACGAAGATGCATAAGTTCAAGTAATCTTGATTAAAAATCGAAGATTTTCTAGATTTTGCAACACATCTGATATTAATGAGAAAAAAGTAAGAGTGCCTGAGAAAGAAATACCTTCAGCGAACCAATTGTTTCCGTTTCAGGAACCTCAATATAAAGCTCTGGCACCTTGAAGGACTTAATGCTAAATTTTACTGTAAAGGAAAATTTTGACTCGTCAGGCCAAAAGCTTTTTTGAGAAAAAAGTATGTCTAATACAAAAAAGAAAAAGAAAATGATCCAAATGTGGCAAAATGCGCCCCAAAATCAAATCTAAAATCTCTTACCATTAGGATCCTTCTGATGATTTATAACTGAAGCTGAAGCCCCAGCTCCTGTAGAGAAAAACAGCAGTTACTCAGTAAGACAGCATAAATCATGGATCTTCAACAGTAAGGGGATAAAAAGGTATTGACCTTTAGGTGGGATTGCGGTATCTCCCTTGATTCCCTTTTCATGTGAATTTGAAATGCTTTCGCTACTGGCCTCCTTGTCATACGCCACAGCAAAGCCATGGTCATACAATTTCCTTCTCTTGGAAGGAATTTCAAATCGACACCTTTCATTCCCACGCTTGTTTTTCCTATTGCAATAAAAGGACTTCACTCCATCATCTAAAACACCAAAATCAAGTAGTTAGAATGTGGTATGAAAAGCTAACAAAATTGAGTAAGAGTACAGCTAAAAATATCGGAGTAAGATTCTCCAACTTACTAGAGTAAGAACGCTCACAGTCCTTCAACTTAGGAGCTACTTTCCAGTGTCTAGATGTCAACATCTTCCTTATTCTTCTGTATGTGATACGTGATGTTGGCCTGAAGGTCCTAATCTTAGTGCTATGCCTATAGCACCCAAAATAATTTTCGTCATCATCTCTAATACCTAACTTTACATTGTTCCTTGACTTTACAAAAGAAGCACAAGGAACCGGGTCCCTGTACAAGGGAAACTGTACACTACTATCTGAGTTAACCAAGGCACTACTATTCACATTCTTTTCTATCGGAGCTTTTATACTGCAAGTATTCGCCACAGTTAATTCAGTCTGTTTGCTGTCATCATCTAACTGTTTTCGAGTTCCTTCCACAATTCTAATGTCAAATGGATCAGCCAGATCAGGAGATCCACCTTCCACTTTGGTTTGTAACTGTGCATCTGCACTGACCTCTTTGCAGCTTTCCAACTTCACGTCAGACCAGTCTTTTAATAAGGAATTAGAACCTATAATAGTAGATGTATGCTCTAAAAAGAATTTATTTTCAGCAAAAGGTTTACTCAAACCATTCTTGAAAGCTTGCTCTTGCTCTGCAGCTTCTGGTATATAGGCACTTTCTACACAACTTCCCTGATCAAGACACTCTGATCTCACAGCTTTATCATCTTCCACTTGTTCATGTTTAATACTATCCCTGCAATCAGCGAGCTCATATTTTCCCGCTGGTGCACCTGCATTACTTGAAGCAGAACTTTCACTCTCAAGTAACAGTTTGCCAGCTACAGCCGCCAATAATTCAAATGCACAAATTTGATCATCGTCCAATTTGTTACAGGGGCGTCTCTTCTGAAACAAATTAGAATTGCAGGAGACATTTAGAAAAGGTAGAGAAAAAGAAGTTGTAAAAGCATAATTTAATAAATACAGCACGCTTACTCTAGCTGATCTAGGAGCTTTAGGTATAACAGGAATTTGATAGCCACTAAAACCACAATTCAGCCTCTTCTTTGACACCATAGCTTAGATAGCATGCCAATAAGTAATGATCAAATGCAAGGAGCCAATGTCACAAATTTCACTTCGATCTACAGTAGCAAAGAAAGCATGTCATCTACCATACCATTAATGATAATCAAAAGCCAGATGTACAAAAATTCCAAAATTGGAGGGAAAAAAAAACATAAGGACCTTAAGTAAATGACGATACAAGGGCACACAACAATTCATGTTAATAATATATATATATANTTCAGGGTCGCACTTTATTGCTCCCCATTTTCAATAGGGATGAAATTGAGAAAAACCCATATCTATGTTACTATGTCCAATAAAAGATAAAAACTAGGAAAATCATGAATTATCCCAATCCGTAAAGATGCGGTTTGTGAAAAACACAATGGTATGATGGCATCGAATTTTTGAAAATATTCACACGCAGAAGAACTCTATTTCTGACACACTGTTGATTAATTGACAAATACGTGGAAAATGTTGATGTAATATCATAAAACATCTTTAACAAAACAGAGATCTTTCCCCTATGTGTTATAGGCAAACTTCCCATCAGCTATAACGAGTAAATAATAAAGGATTCTTTGACTTTGAGATATCATGGTATAAGAAGGTTCGCAAAACTTGAAGACATTTTTAAGAAGAAGAAGAACAACAACAAAAGCCCGATCCTCAACCAGTATCGATGAGTTGCGTTTCGAAAGTTAAAACGGGGGCAGTAAATATCGAATGCAATTCCAGTTCCACTATAGGCACAGAAACCACAAAGAAGCCTTGGAATTCACGCGATCAAACTAAGAAGAAGGCAAGTTCAACAAGTCTGATCCCAGATCTCTGTGTGATCAACCTGAATTTCACCAGAAAAATAAATCCCCCCCACCAGACTCTTAATCATCCCAAACCCAGATTAAAAAAAAACATCACTTGAAAAAGTCAATGCTGCCATCACCCGCACCACAATTCAAATGCAGACCAGAAAAACCCCAACAGTAAAGAAAAATAAGAAGATAAAAAAAAAAAAAAAAAAAAAAAAAAAAAAAAAAAAGATAAGTTAGATCGAATTACCTGATATGAAGAAATCTGCGTTTTGCCTTCTTTCTGTACAGATTCTACCAGTAAAATTTTGAATCCCTAGAATGTATATTTACTCGTTAAACATTTTTCTCTTTTTGTGTGTTTTTTGTTATTGTGTTATGTGTAGTTTGTGGACAGAATTAAAAACCTCTGGGTTTGGGAAGACCAACCAAAAAGAGAACTGTTCTAAAACCCCTTTTATTCTACCTCCTCTCTCTTTTAGCTATTCCCCACAAAGACGATGATGATGGATGATGTGGGTAGTTTTTATACTCTTGTTGACCTTTAAAACCGGACCCTCCTGTAAAAAGGGCAATATTGTCCGGTCAATTTTGTGTTTTAGGCCCAAAGCCCGGGCCCGCTAGTAAGGTCCATTTCCCAACTCCTCTCCTTCATTCCTCACCACTTATCTTTCCCTCGGATAGGCTGTGCCACGTGGAATTTTTCTAATTTTATTAATGGTTTAAGAGAATTATCATGATCCATTATTGACCATAACAAGAGAGCACATAACTCAAAATGAAATTGCTAACTAAGCTTAACATAAGATTATTTTAGTATTTCATTCAATAAAGGAAGTTGTTACTTGCTTGTCTTGAAGAAAGGTAGGGTTAAATTACCGGAGGTGTGTGAGTTTAGTTTGGAAAGTATTAGATTTATGGAGATTGGCGAGGATTTAGTTCATGGATTTGGAAAGAGGGGAGTGAGAGGAGGCCGTGGTGTGATTTTGGAGTGATAGAATAATAAAATATGGATGAGTATTTATATGAATAAGAGATGGATATAGTTAATCGTGTAGTTTAATTTTCATAACAGTTTAATATGGTTATTTAACATTTAAAAGCAAGACTAAGCCTATTTTGAGAGGGAAGACGCCACTTTGAAAGAAAAATACACACGAGGAACATTTGGGAGCAAGTTTATCTCAATTTTCTTCATCTTTTCTTATTGCCCCTGTTGGGAGATTCTATAATGGTAGCCCGTCTTTATCATTTTATTTTTTTTTATTATTGAGAGCTATGAGACTAGAGGTGACCTTCCTGTTACTCATTCGGTAGTTTTGATGTGATTTCTGGGTACTTATGAGCATCCAATTTAGTTTTTAATTCATAAAATTGTTTCATTGGATCTTCAACGAACTCTTTTTTCTTTGTATGACCCTTTATTATTACCAATCACTGATTCGTTAATTAATATCAGTCCTAAACTTTGAATTCTCGAACATTCTTGAAAGAGTGGTACTAATAGTATTCATCTATTTGGAAGTGACATCACCTTAAATTACTTGGTTCTTTTTATAAAAGGACCTTTCAAGCACTCACCAATTTTATCAATTAAGTAGTACTCTTTCTGTTCACTTTTACTTATCTATTATATTAAAAATATATACTTTTACTTTTTAATTTTAGTAAATTAAGAGAAACTTATTTTTTTTATCCTTATCATTAAATATTCATTCCTCAAATTATTTTTGAAAATTTCTTAAAATACTATCATTATTATGAGTGTTATGGTTAAATATATTGTTACACCCCGTACTTTCCTCTAAGAATTTATCTTAAGTGAATCAATATGAGTCGGAGAGTTGAAGGACCTTTAAAAAGATAATGATGGGTTAAAACAAGTTTTAAGAAAGCATTGTGAAGGTTGAAAGGTTACGAAGCTAATCAAATCGAAGAAAATAAATTTCGTCGAAAGTCAGCAAGTTGGGAATGTTATAACCTGTACTTATGGGGTGAGACTGGGGTGCTTAAGATGATAAGAAGGTAATGTTATGAGGTATTTTAGTCGTATGATAGTCGTGTGTTAAGTTTTGAAGTCAAGCGTGTTTTGAAACAAAAGTCGACGAAAGTCGTCACAAGTTACGTTCATAAATTTTACTGAAATAAGGTCTAATGTCACTGAGCTTTTCTCCTAGAATACTTGGAGTTATGGGGTTATCCATCCACCAAATTGAAGTCTATGAGTCTAGTTTTCAATACATTAAACCGTTCATCGATAAGACGTCGGAGTAGAGAGATATTCACATTTTTGTGAGACTACATAAGTAGCTCCCTTTGGGACTCACAAGGTCGGTTAAGGATTATCTTGATATATAAAGTGGTGGCCTTCGTCTCCAAGCATCATTTTCAACCCAAATCAGACCAAAAATTCTCTTTAGACCTCCTAAACATATCCTTAAGGTTTGGACTCCTAATCAAAAGGTGGAGAAGATGAAACAAGTGGATTCAAGCCTTAGGAACCAGAACTAGTCGATAGTTCGCCTCTTTCTCTCTTCGTTGCCAAATGAGGAAGGCATAACAACGAAGTAAGCTCTACAAATTCGGGAATTGTGTGGTATAAGGTATGGTCTTCACCCCTCTCTTTGGGTTGAGTCATTTTTAGGCTATAGCAAGCCTAGATGTTGAAGGCAAACGTGTTAACTTGAAGTTGGAGGTATCTTTAAGGTGTTGTGCGTATGGGGCTATTTTGGAAGGCATTTTGTGGATATTTTGAACTAGGAATCATATAGTACATATAAGTATGATGTTCTGAAGGTTGTAAACTAATTTATGGAATAAGAGTTGGATTCAATTTATGTTTTGCTATTAGTAAAAATGAGCTTCCCGCTCAATATGATTGTTAAGATAATCGGAGAAGCTCATATTGGATTATATTGTTGTTGTTGATATTGCTGGTTATTATTGTTGTTGTTCTGTTATTGATGACCCTTAGTAGTCAATGGGATGTAGTAAAAATAGGAGAGTTGCTGCCCGATTTTTCGTAAGCTATACGACTAGCCAAATACGATGGTACGACATTATATGTTGATGATAATATCATTTCACTTGTTGTAGACGCAAGAAGTTGTGTTGAGCTTGGTTGAGGAATGAGGAAGAGATCATACAGGTATGTTAAGGCACCTTCTTTCTTTCTTTTGGCATGATTTCTAATGAACGTAACATAAATGAATGCCCTTCCAATAAGATTTTATTCTTAGTAGCTAGAAAACGTGCAAGCTTTTCATTCCAATGAAAAGTATATGATCATGTTTATGTTCTGATTCTTGGCATCTCATATAAGGCTTATGATGATGGTATTTTCTGCTTCTTCTGACATCATATGTTGACGAGTTAGCTCAACTACGTATTCAGAGGTTTAACGACCTTACGTCACTCCGAAAGGTTTATAATATGATTCCATGAGTCCAGCATGCAATATATATATGTACCTATTTTACTTTACCGAGCCGCGCTATAGTCAGCCGGGTACGGTACCTATTGTGCAAACATTGATCAACCCGGGTTTTACCGAGCTCCATGTGGCTGGGTACGATTCTACCGAGCCTTATGATGGCCGGGTACGTTTTACCTAGCCTATTATGCTCGAGTACGATATGATGATGATGATGCCCATAGACGCGTATGTTTTTTAAAAGTATTTGTATATATATGTATCATACATTTCATGTTAGTCACCCTCAGAGGCACTAAGATGTTACAAGTTGTATCTTCTTTCTCTCTTTCTCTCTCTTTACATTACTATTCTTATTTATGCTTTCCTGCCTTGCATACTCTGTACTTTATTCGTACTGACATCCCTTTTGGTTGGGGATGCTGCCTTTCATGCATGCAGGTCCCGATAGACAGGTTGATGGTCCTCCTAGTAGGCTATCAGCTCAGCGAAAAGTATTGGTGCAGTCCACTTGCTCCGGAGTTGCCTTTTTGGTTAGTATGCTTTGGACATGTATTGATTGGTATGGAGGGGCCTTGTCCTAACCTTTATGACGTTTATGTACTCTTAGAGGCTTGTAGACAGATGTCATGTGTATAGATGTTTTGTTTGGCCTTGTAGGCAAGTGTATCTCATGTATATCATTTTGGGGTTGCCCTATGTCTAGTATTCCCTTATGTTTTATTATGGTTATCTCAAGACGACCCTTATGGCCCATTTACGCATGATAGTATTGTCACGACCCCAATTTCCCACCTTAGGATGTCGTGATGGCACCTAGTCTCTAAGATTAGGTAAGCCTAACACATGCTGATTTAATAACAGAATTGAACTATTTAATCATTAATCATAAACCATTAAATGACATACATAGCCGCAAGCGGCCAATAGTTATACATTTTTCAAAACCGATAGCACAGAGTCATAAGCACTGCTGAAACACACTAGAATTTCTAAACACAATATTGTTTTGAATTACAATTAACAGTAGCATAATGAAGTAAGATGGTGAATCTGAGGCCTGCGAAACTGCGAACATCAAGCATGTATACCTTGAAGTCTCCCGCTGTGCGACGCAACTCTCAATAACACGTTCAGAATACCTGATCTGCACAAATATGTGCAGAAGCGTAGCATAAGTACACCACAACGGTACCCAGTAAGTGTCAAGCCTAACCTCGATAGAGTAGTGACGAGGCCAGGTCAAAACACCTACTAGAAATAGAAACCTGTTCAAGATATACATAAGCTAACAATGGAAAGAACATCAATGTAAGACCAACGACGGAAGGATTATTGATTTACAACCAACAATGAAGAAATAGAAACACTAATGGCAGCAAGTAGTAAACGAGTAATAAAGAAACAATATAATCAGAACACCGATGAGATGTAAATGAACTCAAATAAGGAAAAACGGATGACAACTCAAATAATCAAATCGCTCCCAACGCATGAACTTATAACAAGAATTACCCCGAGGCACCACACCTCATAAACCACAAGTCATGAACCATAATTTCCAAATCTTACACATATGGCACCTCGTGCCCACAATAACAATCACATTCGCACGGCAAAGCCCACGTGCTACCATGTACTTTACAACTGTGACAAATATCAATTTAGATGAACGAGATATATATTTAAACACCATAAAATATAATAACAATCTTGAATAAAGTAAGGTGTCAAATGAAATAATGAGTTTATTTTAGAAATCAAGTAAAGTAAAATAATATACAAATTATACAAAATAGAGTATCATATGTGTTTAGTTTAGAAATCAATAAAATTGAGTAAAAGTATTATTTTTAAACAAAGCAAAAAATTAGTTAAATTAACGAATTAAATATATAATTTGTTAAAGAAAAATATGATAACAATTTTAAGTAAGGTAAACATCTAACAGGGTGATGAGTATAATTTGAGAACCCAATTATAGTGAAAGTGCGATAACCATTTAGAATAATAAGATACTGAGTGACATAACGAGTTCTATCTTAAGAGACACATAGAATAAAGCA